CACCTAACACCGAACCTCACCCTAAAACAACTAACCTCCTCCATCCTCCCACCACTCCATCCCACCACAGCCATTTTCCTCCTTTAACGCACTTCCCCTCCCTCCTAGATTGTAAGCTCGAATAAGAAGCAGGGCCCTCGAACCCCTCGTGTATTGTGAATTGTTACTGTCTTGTCTCATGTTCTGTCCCCCTTGCTAGGAAATGATAGCGATGCAGACCTGAATGGTATTGCTTGTCCACTGTGTTAGTGTTACCTACCACTGCCATTTCTGACTGTTCCTATCTACGTGATTGCTCACTCTGCTTTTAGGGCGACGGGTTGAATTTGTAGGATTCACAGCATTGGAAGTTGTATATAACGCATACCTACTGTATGCCACATGCTTGAATGTTCTTCTGTACCTTGCTTTGTTATACTTTGGTAAGATTTCAATAAACGCAACTGTTTAAAAAGAAAAAATTAAATTAACAAAAATTTTTTTTAAAGTGACCCTGTCGTCCCGTGCTTGTGCACAAATGTAAACTCATGCGTCGGTCCCGCACACACACGCAAACAGCGATCGCTTCACACTTGTGAGATATCAACAAACATGTCAGATTGAGTGCAGTAATTCTAGCACCAGACCTCCTCCTGTAAATCTAAAGTGGTTACATGTAAAGGCTTTTAAAGCGTCACCTATAGATAGTAAAATTTGTCGTTTGTTTACCAGTGCACGGGCGTATGCGCAATTTTAAAGCGTGACATGTTTGGTATCTCTTTACTCTGTGTAAAATCGTCTTTTAAATTTTTACCAGGCAATTGGATATTATATTGGGTTTTTGTGCAGAAAAATCCAAAAAAGTTCCTTTGAAAAAAATGCTGCGCAAATACCTCATGACAATAAAAATTGCAACACCACCCACCAGTTTATTCTCGAGGGTCTTTGCTTTAAAAAAAAATTCAAAAAAGCCTGGTGAGGCGTGGGAAGGTGTTGTCAGCAGGGGCGGACTGACAACTCGTGGGGCCCCCGGGCAATAGGGGATCATGGGGCCCTTGTGTCATTTGCCCAAACTCAAAAAAGCCTATGAAAAAGGTACCAGGGGCATCTCATGGGGCCCCCTACTGACCCCGGGCCCTCGGGCAGTGCCCGAGTTTCCAAATGGTCAGTCTGCCCCTGGTTGTCGGGCAGGATTTTTTGAGGCAGTAAAGGCTTCTTTTTAGGAACTCGACCATGCAGCTAATTTTTTGTTCAAGTATCATGCTCCTTAAAAACAACCACATCATTTTTTTTTTTTTTTCAGAGCAGCCTGTATTTCTTCTGAGGTTACCTGTGGGTTTTTCTTTGTACCCTGAACTATTCTTCTGGCAGTTGTGGCTGCAATCTTTCTTGGTCTACCTGACCTTTGCTTGGTATCAAGAGATTTCTGAAATTTTCCACTTCTTAATAAGGGATTGAACAGTACTGACTGGCATATTCAAGGCTTTGGATATCTTTTTATATCCTTTTCCATCTTTATAAAGTTCCATTACCTTGTTACGCAGGTCTTTTCACAGTTCTTTTCTGCTCCCCATGGCTCAGTATCTAGCCTGCTCAGTGCATCCAGTGAGAGCTAACAAACTCATTGACTATACACGTACACTAATTGCAATTTAAACAGCCACAGATGGGGAAAATGTAACCTTTTAATTACATTTTACCCTGCATGTGTCACCTTGTGTGTCTGTACCAAGGCCAAATATTACAAGGGATGGGAACTTTTGATCCGGGCCATTTGAGTGACTTTCTGTTATGATGTGAAAAGGAGCCAAACAACTATGTGATAGGAAATGGCTTCATATGATCACTATCCTTAAATAAAAGACAGTTTTTTTGGCGCAATCAGTCATATATTTTCAATATCAATGCCAAAATTTCACGATTTTTCTGCCAGGGTATGCAAATTTTTGAGCACAGCTGTAAATGTAGCATGAAATACAATCCATACGAAAGACTGAATGCAGGTTTTTCTATTTTTGTGAATGGAAAAAATCTGCACGTTGATGGCTGCCACCACTTCTCAGGGCTGACGTGTTCCCCATCAACAGCGGTGCCACCAATGATTACACGCTACTGATGTTTACATGTCGGCCCGGAACAGCGGCAGTGACACATCCGCAGAATAGCCTGCTGCCTGTCACATTGCCTGAACAGCGGCTGCTTGGTATTGGATACAGTTTACTTTTCGGGCCAAACGATTCTCCACGTGGCTCCTACAGTTTTTCAGTCAAGGGATTTCATGTAGGATACTGACAGGGACACCCACTGAGCAAATGTCATCAGGTTTCTCTGGAACCAACCACAATTCATACAAGGTATGGCAAGCTTTAGGGTGCAGTTACACTTTAAATCTGGTATCTAGAAAAAAAGGCTGAATACAAAGTTTGTATGAGTGTATGTCAGATGAAAATGTAACTTCTCTAATACTGCTCCAACTTTGCTGTGCAGGAACATGTCGCGATCAGCTGGAAAAGTCGGAAACCTGAGGGATAAGTTGGATGGAAATGAATTAGACCTGAGTCTGAGTGACCTGAGTGAAGTCCCTGTGCGGGAACTGGTCAGTAACACCTTGCCTGTCTATGCTGACATCTTTGTTTAAAAATTAATTGATTCAAATCTGTCCGTAAAATATGGAGAATTTACTGAGGATTGCTGTTTGTAAAACCATGTCGTTTGAGTTGGAATTGTTCTTTAAATTAGAACTAAAGGCAAATCTATTTATTTTTTTTTTCATTTTGGATAGAGTAAGAGAGGGTTATAACCCATCATATTTATTTTTGCCATCTGTTTCCCTTTGCTGTGATTTCTCTTAGTTTCCTGTCCCATAGCCAAACAGGAAGTGAGAGGAATTCACTAAAGATTAAAGTGTTACTAAACCCAGGACCCTCCATTCCCTATATCCGGTCTCCCCAGGACCCTGCATTCACTATATCTGGTCTCCCCGGACCCTGCATTCACTATATCTGGTCTCCCCGGACCCTGCATTCACTATATCTGGTCTCCCCGGACCCTGTATTCACTATATCTGGTCTCCCCGGACCCTGCATTCACTATATCTGGTCTCCCCCGGACCCTGCATTCACTATATCTGGTCTCCCAGGACCCTGCATTCACTATATCTGGTCTCCCCGGACCCTGCATTCACTATATCCGGTCTCCCAGGACCCTGCATTCATTATATCCGGTCTCCCCAGGACCCTGCATTCACTATATCCGGTCTCCCAGGACCCTGCATTCACTATATCCGGTCTCCCAGGACCCTGCATTCACTATATCCGGTCTCCCAGGACCCTGCATTCACTATATCCGGTCTCCCTGGACCCTGCATTCACTATGTGTGCGGTCTCCCCGGACCCTGCATTCACTATATCTGGTCTCCCACGGACCCCGCATTCACTATATCTAGTCTCCCCGGACCCCGCATTCACTATATCTGGTCTCCCCGGACCCCGCATTCACTATATCTGGTCTCCCCGGACCCCGCATTCACTATATCTGGTCTTCCCGGACCCCGCATTCACTATATCTGGTCTCCCAGGACCCTGCATTCATTATATCCGGTCTCCCAGGACCCTGCATTCACTATATCCGGTCTCACAGGACCCTGCATTCACTATATCCGGTCTCCCCGGGACCCTGCATTCACTATGTGCGGTCTCCCCGGACCCTGCATTCACTATATCTGGTCTCCCCGGGACCCGCATTCACTATATCCGGTCTCCCAGGACCCTGCATTCATTATATCCGGTCTCCCAGGACCCTGCATTCACTATATCCGGTCTCCCAGGACCCTGCATTCACTATATATCCGGTCTCCCAGGACCCTGCATTCACTATATCCGGTCTCCCAGGACCCTGCATTCACTATATCGGGTCTCCCTGGACCCTGCATTCACTATGTGCGGTCTCCCCGGACCCTGCATTCACTATATCTGGTCTCCCACGGACCCCGCATTCACTATATCTGGTCTCCCCGGACCCCGCATTCACTATATCTGGTCTCCCCCGGGACCCCGCATTCACTATATCTGGTCTCCCCGGACCCCGCATTCACTATATCTGGTCTCCCGGACCCCGCATTCACTATATCTGGTCTCCCAGGACCCTGCATTCATTATATCGGTCTCTCCCAGGACCCTGCATTCACTATATCCGGTCTCACAGGACCCTGCATTCACTATATCCGGTCTCCCCGGACCCTGCATTCACTATGTGCGGTCTCCCCGGACCCTGCATTCACTATATCTGGTCTCCCCGGACCCCGCATTCACTATATCTGGTCTCCCCGGACCCCGCATTCACTATATCTGGTCTCCCGGACCCCGCATTCACTATATCTGGTCTCCCCGGACCCCGCATTTCACTATATCTGGTCTCCCCGGGGGGCCCCGCATTCACTATATCTTGTCTCCCGGACCCCGCATTCACTATATCTGGTCTCCCGGACCCCGCATTCACTATATCTGGTCTCCCGGACCCCGCATTCACTATATCTGGTCTCCCCGGACCCCGCATTCACTATATCTGGTCTCCCCGGACCCCCCCGCATTCACTATATCTGGTCTCCCCGGGCCCCGCATTCACTATATCTGGTCTCCCCGGGCCCCGCATTCACTATATCTGGTCTCCCCGGGCCCCGCATTCACTATATCTCTGTCTCCCCGGGCCCCGCATTCACTATATCTGGTCTCCCCGGGCCCCGCATTCACTATATCTGGTCTCCCCGGGCCCCGCATTCACTATATCTGGTCTCCCCGGGCCCCCGCATTCACTATATCTGGTCTCCCCCCGGGCCCCGCATTCACTATATCTGGTCTCCCCCCCGGGCCCCGCATTCACTATATCTGGTCTCCCCGGGCCCCGCATTCACTATATCTGGTCTCCCCGGGCCCCGCATTCACTATATCTGGTCTCCCCGGGCCCCGCATTCACTATATCTGGTCTCCCCGGGCCCCGCATTCACTATATCTGGTCTCCCCGGGCCCCGCATTCACTATATCTGGTCTCCCCGGGCCCCGCATTCACTATATCTGGTCTCCCCGGACCCCGCATTCACTATATCTGGTCTCCCCGGACCCCGCATTCACTATATCTGGTCTCCCCGGACCCCGCATTCACTATATCTGGTCTCCCCCCGGGCCCCGCATTCACTATATCTGGTCTCCAACAGTACACAAAACATGGAAATGCAATTATTTTAGTAACCTGCTTAATACCTTTTCTCATCAGCAGTATTGCAACTTCTATCAGTGTCCAGCTGAGCACTGGTTAATCTTGTGGAAGGAGTTTTCATTCTCCTCTGTCTGTCCTATGATTCTGCATAACCCCTGATTGGCCCTGTGATCACATGCACTCTCCCCCCCCCCCCCCCCCCCCCCAATAAAAAACGTTTTAGCAATACACGCCATATTGAACATGTGCAGAGTGCCTCCTAGGGCTCTGTACTGTCAGCAGATGGATTAGGGACTGTGGAAGAGGGGGAGGATCAAAGAAGACAGAATTAAACAGCCTTTTTACACAATGCAGAGGATTAACCCCTTACGTTCCACAGTGAGTATAACAAGCGTGCTTTACTGCATCTACAGACTGATTTGAATGTTGTGGGTTTAGTAACACTTTAACGGAATTCCTTGGGGACCCCCAGGTCACCAGAACTAGTGTCCCCATTGGAAGATTTCCCCTCTAGAACTATGGTTTCTTTCACTTTCAATGATAATAGTGAACAGGATAAATAGAGAGGGTGGCTCTCCCTAACGTGGGCACAGACAGCAATAAAACTGGCAGATGTACTAATCTCTCTGCACTCTATCCAAAACAAAAAAAAAAAAAAGTTTTGCCTCTCATTATACTTCAAGGTCTCATGCACATGTACAGTGAGAGGATGAAAATCTGCTGGTTGTAAAACTCTGGGTGGTTTCCCATGCTCGGGGAGCCGCAGGCGTCTTGCATGGGCTAAGAGCAGTCAGGTGGCGAAAACACCTAGTGCATTATTCAAGATTTATTCAAAGGTGTAAAAGACAAAAACATACAGACATAGCATGTATAAAAAGCTTTTGCATAATGGAGACGGCCACAACAACGGGCAAGGTGTTCCAACTGTCAGTGCGGTCAAATGGTCGACGCGTTTCGGGGACAAATCCTTTCCCTCAGAGCTACGTTCTTGTATGGTCTACTATACAGGTGAATGGCTGTACTCTTGTAACTGCCGATGCTTCTGTGCATCAGCAATGACTCACAAATACAACGTTTTCCCCAAACAAGAAATGCGTGTTCAGGAAATATGTCTGATTTGCATGTGTAGGGTAAACGCCTGTGTGTCTGTGCATGGCGTTTACTTGACTACAGCCAGCACAGGAAAACACCCGGAATTTTACAACCAGTACATTTTCAGCCTCTCACTACGTCCCACCAATTTACCCACCGCCAAATAAAGTTCCTATGACCTTTACCTTTTGATGTTGTTTCTATGCTGGATAAATTATATATACAATCCCTGCAGGTCCAGCATTGTCCTTTTCTCTTGCACACTCTTCTACTGCAGGTCTGGTCCGATGACACCATCTTCCTCTTGTGTTCCATCAGGTGGCAGGCTGTCACCTCCAGGTTCCTGCAGCTGCCCCTCGATGACACAGCATCTGATGCGTCTTCGCAGCATTGAGAGGAGGCCTGCAGCCTGCTGGGATATGTGATGTCAGTTTCCCAAGAGGCGGCAGGGAAGGCTGAAATGTTGTTGCTCAGGGGTGGACTGACCATTTGGAAACTCGGGCACTGCCCGAGGGCCCGGGGTCAGTAGGGGGCCCCATAAGATGCCCCTGGTACCTTTTTCGTAGTCTTTTTTTTGAGTTTGGGCAAGGATACAGGGGCCCCATGATCCCCTATTGCCCGGGGCCCCATGAGTTGTCAGCCCGCCCCTGTTGTTGCTATGTAAATGTGCAAAGTAAAATTGTATAAACCAACAAATGCAAGTAGTAATAAATAACCAGATTGAAGATGGGATGCCTTCCATTACCCCATGGAGGTTTCACTAAGAAGGATGCACATTTAGGCTAGGATCACATATGTGCAGGTGGTGCCGCTGCGGATCCGCACAAAAATCCTTGCAGCCACACCACCTGCAAAGAGGAATGCAGACCCACTGGCGGGTGCCATTAATTGTAATGGCACGCCGCCCGCACTGGAAATTCGCAACCGTACTGGGAACCGAGGTCCCTGTGCAGGCTGCGTTTTCAGAAGAAGTGCAGGGACTGTCCCGGGGAACAGGAGTCCATTCAAATGAATGGGCTCTTCTGCTCACGCAAAACGCAGAATGCGAATATGTGAACCATGGGTTAGAATAAATTTTTTAATTTTATATATATATATATATATATAAAATATATATAAATTAAAGCTGAACTACAGGGAATAGAAACATCCTTCTTTGCAGCTGGGCTGTCTCCACACTGCAATGGTTGGTTGCTTGTTTAACCCCTTCGTGCCTAAGGGTAAGACAAATCTTAATGCCTAAGTACAATTTTTCAACTTTGACATGTGTTAGCAAAACTGTACATATCATCACAACTACTTTGTGTATCCAGGTGGATTATACCTTGGTTTTTTTCAGGACAGATTGGGCTTTCATTTGGTGTTAAATGGTAATGGATATCTCCTGAATATTTTTTTTTTTTTATTACCAAAAAAAAAAAAAAAACTGGCCCAAAATAGTAAAAAAACCCCCCCAAAACTTTTTTTTAAATTTATCTGTATATTTCTTGGTACTACCATAACCTACCACCAATGAACAACCCAAAATAACTTCTGGTGATCACAGTGATACCACATGTGTATGTTGGTTGTTGTTTGTACCGGTAGTACAGCCTACAAACCATAGTGCGCAATTGGATTTTTTTTTTTTTTTTTATTCTGCCACTAACTGACACTGTTGCTATTTTAAAAATGAAAAAAAAAACCTGACACCCCCCCCCCCCCCCCCAAATAAATAAAAATCTGACCTTGACCAAAACACTAACCCTGGCACAGACCTAGATCAAACCTTTAGGTATTTTTGTTTATTTTTGTATTATTATTATTATTTTTATTTATTCATTTATTTTATTTATTTTTTTTACGCACACTTGTTTTCCCTTTTTTTTTTTTTCCTCTCTGAAAGGGCCGAGAGAGATACAATGTATCTCTCGCCTCCATTCAGAAAGAGAAGTCAAAGGGGACGGGCTTCAAAGTGACCACTGTGATAGGCTATCCCAGAATCGGGTGTTCGGGTCCTGATCGTTAGAATGGGACCTGGGATCTCAGCGGTCTTTGTGCTGGGAGCATGCTGTGTGGCGTACTCCCAGCAGAAAGTCAGGTATGCAAATTAGCGTCCCCACGGAAAAAAAACAAGGGGTTAAAGTGATATTAAAGGCATTTTTAAAAAAATAACATACTTGTCATACTTACCTGCTCCGTGTAATGGTTTTGCACAGAGCAACGCCGATCCTCCTCTCCTCAGATCCCCCGCCTCCCTCCTTTCAAATGCCCCCAAGAGCAAGCAGCAAGCTATGGGGGCACCCAAGCAGGCTCGCTCCTGAGCCACTGCTCTGCACATCTACTCAAACACTAAAACGTGGCTGCACCCCATCCTCCCCTCTCTCCTCATTGGCTCACTGGCTGTAATTGACAGTAGCAGGAGCCATTGGCTCCCGCTGCTGTCTCATCCAATCAGGAGGAAGAATCCCAAAAGAGCTGCTGTTCTTATGCTCATGGCTGGATGGAGAGGGGGCTCGGGTAAGTATTAGAAGGGGGTGGGGGGCTGTTGCACACTGAAGTCTTTCTACCTTCATGAATTCCGTACATGAAGGTAGAACCACTTTAAGTCTAGAAGACTGGGAAAAGCAGTTATACTTGTACTCCTCCGCTTCCACAGGCTCCTTCTACACTGCAAAACCGGTCCTTGCAGCCTCTTCTCCTCTGTGTACTGGTGGACCGTTACCACTGAGATTCTCAAGACTGTAGCATAGCAGGGCACATACAGTGGGGCAAAAAAGTATTTAGTCAGCCACCAATTGTGCAAATTCTCCCACTTTAAAAGATGAGAGAGGCCTGTAATTGGCATCATAGGTAGACCTCAACTATGAGAGACAAAACCTCCTTCCATCAGCAAGGGCATTGAAGATGAAATGTGGCTGGGTCTTCCAACATGACAATGATCCCAAACATACTGCCCGGGCAACGAAGGAATGGCTTCGTAAGAAGCATTTCAAGGTCCTGGAGTGGCCTAGCCAGTCTCCAGATCTCAACCCCATAGAAAACCTTTGGAGGGAGTTTAAAGTCCGTGTTGCCCAGCGACAGCCCCAAAACATCACTGCTCTAGAGGAGATCTGCATGGAGGATGGGCCAACATACCAGCAACAGTGTGTGCCAACCTTGTGAAGACTTACAGGAAACGTCTGACCTCTGTCATTGCCAACAAAGGATATATAACAAAGTATTGAGATGAACTTTTGATATTCACCAAATACTTATTTTCCACCATAATTTGCAAATAAATTCTTTCCAAATCAGCCAATGTGATTGTCTGGATTCTTTTTTCTCATTTTGTCTCTCATAGTTGAGGTCTACCTATGACGCCAATTACAGGCCTCTCTCATCTTTTTAAGTGGGAGAACTTGCACAATTGGTGGCTGACTAAATACTTTTTTGCCCCACTGTATCCCTGCATTGGTCTTGAGGACATTGAGCAATTGGCCTCTGCTGGAGCATAATGGTGCAGTGGATCGGGTAAGTAAAACTGCTTTTCCCATCTCTTCACACAAGCTAAGCAAGCATTTAACCCTCGCAGTGGGGTCTTTTTTTGGGGAGGGGGGGGTTGGGCTTTAATTTGTCCATGCTGGTTCAATTGAATGTACCCCCCCAGCTGTAACTGAACCAATGTTGAGCCAATGGCTAATGTCTGGAAGTAGCAGGTATTTTTCTTCCCTCCCAGTGGGTGCAGGACATTTTAGTATGCACTGCTGCAGAGGGAAGGAGGCAGATTGGTTACTCTCTGCCTTTGGCCATTGTTATTGTCACAACTGACTAACCAAAGTGAGAAATGATTTCTTGTCTGGCTCTGTGAAGTCTTTCCTTGGTCTGCACTGAGAATAATTCTGTTTCTATTACTCTTTCTATTCAGGCTGCCCTCCCCAAGGCCACGGTGTTGGACCTTTCTTGTAACAAGCTTACAACATTACCGGTAAAGTATTGCAGAAGAGGAAGTTCTCTTATTTGCCACAAGATACATTCTTTTAATCCATTATAGAAGTTGTAGAACTTTAGAGTCACAGCTGCTTGGAGGATCTTTACTTGTCGGATATGCGTGAAGGATGTTTTTTTTTTTTTTTTTTGAAAGAGAACATGCCCTCAATTCACAAAGCTCACACACCAGGTCCAATAAGATTTGAAAATTGGACAAAATAAATAGTTCACCTTCTATCAGAAAGTTAGTTTTCAGTATGAAATGAAGCCAATTGCTAGTGACATTTTGCCCAGCCTGTTCCTACTCTGACATATTGTACTTAATCCCCACCCAGGCCACAGTGAATCTGTGTGCTGTCTTGTCAATTTCCAAACATTTGCTGGGCTTTCTGTATCCTGTACCCTGTGCACATGACAGTGATGAGCTTGCAAGGTACTACAGTTCCCATGATTCCAAGGTGGCAGAGCGGTGGGCAGAAGGGTGACCTAAGTAGTAGGCAGATTTGCTACTGAAGTCCGTGCACACAGGAACAGATCTTCAGGGCTGTGCTAACAAGTGGGGCTTCCTGACTTGTACTCAGGACATTTGATTAGCTATCATAGAGACATTCTTAAATAGAAGGCAACAGATGGATAGGATGAGCCTAGTGAACAAACCTGGATAAAGGGTAAGACATTTCCCTGACACATACTGTAGTTAAAGTGATTGTATAGAGTGAAGGATTTTTGCATTCTATGCATGAAGGTAACAAACCTGTGTGCAGCCCCCTCATCCCTTCCTAATACTTACCTGAGTCTCCTCTTGATCCAGTGATGTGCACAGGAGTCTCGGCTGTCCTGGGTCTCTCTCCCCTCATTAACTGAGACAATTGGCTGTCAATCACAGCCAGTGTAGAGAGTTGAGGAAGGAGGGGGGGCAGGACCGAGCTGCGGCTCTGTGTCTTACGGATGCATGGAGCAGGGTTCAGAAGTGAGTACACACCAGTTCTCCCATAGCAAGTGGCTTGCTACTGGGGGCACTGGTCGAGGAGGAGGAGCCAGGAGCACTGGCGTGGGCCCTGAGAAGAGGAGGTTCTGGGCTGCTATGTGCAAATCCACTGCACAGAGCAGGTAAGTATAACATGTTGTTAAAAAAAAAAAAAAAAAAAAAGAAAAACCTTTTAATATCACTTTAAGCTCTAAATGACTTGCAAAAGGTGAACTAAGCCTTTAACCTTGTGTCAGAGCTTTGTGACTTGAGCCGAATATCTTTATACATTAGATGACAATCACTGGGTAGGCTTTTTCAGCTGGATTGGGTAATGACTCTGTGTATGGAGTCGATAATGTGAAACCATGGTATTCCTTAAAGAGTAACTCCAACCAAAACTATTTTTTATTTTTTGGATAGACTAGGGAAGGATTGGTATTTTCCCCTGGAGAAATTTCTGTTGACTATCTGTGGAGAGGAAGTGCAGAAAAATCTCCCAGATGGGGACACAGATAGCAATAGAATCTTTCATCTGTCTATCCAACATTAAAAAAGAAATGGTTTTGACAGGAGTTACATTTTAACACTCAAAGAGATCGCTCTCTTGGCTGTCCGTGCATCCTTTTAATTGGATAATGAAGGATCAGCAGCAGAATGAAAGAGGATTCATCGCTGCCCAGTCGCTTCCCTCTAGTCAGCACATGAGGCTTCTGATACTGCACCTCCCTCTTGGTGCTGAGATAGATGAAGCAGAAGAGTAGCTGGACAGAATTCCAAATCCTTTAGATAAGAATTTACAAATGTGTATTTTGGCAAACAGAAGGTCTGCTCTTTTGTATTTTTTTTGTTTTTGTTTTTTTTTTTTTTTTTGCAGCCCCCTACCCACCCCCTAACATACAGTGGGGCAAAAAAGTATTTAGTCAGCCACCATTTGTGCAAGTTCTCCCACTTAAAAAGATGAGAGAGGCCTGTAATTGGCATCATAGGTAGACCTCAACTATGAGAGACAAAATGAGAAAACAAATCCAGACAATCACATTGGCTGATTTGGAAAGAATTTATTTGCAAATTATGGTGGAAAATAAGTATTTGGTCAATATTAAAGTTCATCTCAATACTTTGTTATATATCCTTTGTTGGCAATGACAGAGGTCAAACGTTTCCTGTAAGTCTTCACAAGGTTGGCACACACTGTTGCTGGTATGTTGGCCCATTCCTCCATGCAGATCTCCTCTAGAGCAGTGATGTTTTGGGGCTGTCACTGGGGAACACGGACTTTCAACTCTCTCCAAAGGTTTTCTATGGGGTTGAGATCTGGAGACTGGCGAGGCCACTCCAGGACCTTGAAATGCTTCTTACGAAGTCACTCCTTCGTTGCCCGGGCGGTATGTTTGGGATCATTGTCATGTTGGAAGACCCAGCCACATTTCATTTTCAATGCCCTTGCTGATGGAAGGAGGTTTGCACTCAAAATCTCACGATACATGGCCCCATTCATTTTGTCCTGTACATGGATCAGTCATCCTGGTCCCTTTGTGGAGAAACAGCCCCAAAGCATGATGTTGCCACCCCCCCATGCTTCACAGTAGGTATGGTGTTCTTCGGATGCAACTCAGCATTCTCTCTCCTCCAAACACGATGAGTTGTGTTTCTACCAAACAGTTCTATTTTGGTTTCATCTGACCATATGACATTCTCCCAATCCTCTTCTGGATCATCCAAATGCTCTCTAGCAAACCTCAGATGGGCCCGGACATGTACTGGCTTAAGCAGGGGGACACGTCTGGCACTACAGGATCTGAATCCCTGGCGGCGTAGTGTGTTACTGATGGTAGCCTTTGTTACGTTGGTCCCAGCTCTCTGCAGGTCATTCACTAGGTCCCCCTGTGTGGTCCTGGGATTTTTGCTCACCATTCTTGTGATCATTTTGACCCCACGGGGTGAGATCTTGCGTGGAGCCCCAGATCGAGGGAGATTATCAGTGGTCTTGTATGTCTTCCATTTTCTAATTATTGCTCCCACAGTTGATTTGTTCACACCAAGCTGCTTGCCTATTGCAGATTCAGTCTTCCCAGCCTGGTGCAGGTCTACAATCTTGTTTCTGGTGTCCTTCGACAGCTCTTTGGTCTTCACCATAGTTTGGAGTTTGGAGTGTGAGAGCCAGAAATCTTGCTTGTTTGTAGGTGACCAAATACCTATTTTTCCACCATAATTTGCAAATAAATTCTTTCCAAATCAGCCAATGTGATTGTCTGGATTTTTTTTTTCTCATTTTGTCTCTCGTAGTTGAGGTCTACCTATGATGCCAATTACAGGCCTCTCTCATCTTTTTAAGTGGGAGAACTTGCACAATTGGTGGCTGACTAAATACTTTTTTTGCCCCACTATAAAATAAATGGCTGTTAAAAACTATTTGTTATAGTTCTAAATCCCACATAAAATGCACTCCAGCCCATTGCAAGAGTACATTCTTGCATAATTTTGAACTCCCTGCTATGCCAGAAGGCACTGCAACATCACTCTTGCCTCCTGAAATATCAGGTGCCAGGGACAAGGTTTTTTTTTTTTTTTTTAAATATATATGGGAATGAATAGCTCTGAGGCAGGGGGCTAGCAAAAAGCAGACCTTCTGTTTGCCATGTAAGGTTTGCTTTCAATATGGTTTAACCTCTTACATAAGAGGTTAAATAACCAGTGAAGTGAATGGCCTAAGGTGAATACACAGAGATTAAACAAATCCCCTCTTACATAAGTTGTACCTGTTTATCTTTAGTATTCTCTTCTTTACTTCCATTCAAAGTGCTGTGTTTTAAAGCTTGTCTGAAAGTTCAGGTAAAAAGGGGCAGAGAGCTGAAACTGCTCAGTGAGGAGAGCTCTGGTAGCTGATTGGAGGCGCAGACACACCCCCCCTCCACACAGCTCACAGGTACAGAGCTGAGGCTGTCAATCTGCTGGAGGTCCCTCCCCTGTCACCATTTTTCTCTTGGTGTCAGGGAAACTTGTCAGAAGTGATTCATGCTAATAGCAGAGGAACAAGGCAGCAGACAGAAATGATACTTAGTGCTTTGTACACAAGTGGATGGATATGATTTGTTCATATTTCATGTCTGAGGATTACATCCACTTTAATGTGTATTTTCGGATTTTAATGTCTTTCATTTCCTTAATTATCGCTTTTATCTTTGCAGGGTGACTTTTGCTCTCTCACTCATATTGTAAGACTGGATCTCAGCAAAAATCAGCTTGTGCAACTCCCATCTGAATTTGGCAGGTTGATAAACCTGCAGCACCTCGATCTACTGCAGAACCGTTTGACTATACTGCCAGCGACCTTTGCTCAACTCAGGGTAAAGACCTAATATTTTACTTGGGAATAGAACCTGAAAATGTCGACGTGCCAATATAAATGACACAAATGAATGCAGCCCTGTAATCATTAATGCATTAGTATGTATTAAAAGTACAAGCAGTGTAAGTACCTGATATGAGCCTTTACACTAATCATCATTTGAACTACACTGTATCAGAGCACCACAAACCAAAAAAAGCAGTTTAATTCACTCTTCTTGTTCATAGCAAACTCTCCCATCCATCCATGTCTCTATGGTTTATTTTGCTGGGAAAGAACTTTGAAAAACACCCCCATGGTCATGGCCATGGTCAGAGTAAGGTCAGACGATTCATGTATCATTTGCTTCCTGGAATCTCTCTGCCCTTAGTTCAGGCTTGCAGGAGGGTTTGCTTAGCTGAGAAAATCCCTCCCCTTCCTGATGGCTCCAGGAATGTATGACATCATTTGCCTTGGAAACCAGGAAGTAACTGAAGAATAAAAAAAGGTTAAGGGCTTGTTCACACCAGTGTGCAGATACATCAGTTTTTCTGCACGTGTTCTGCAAGGGCACAACAAAATCAGTTGTTCTGTATGTGCCCTATTCACACCACAACACTAGTGTCACGTGTAGATTTTTTTCTGTGCAGGAATCTGCAACGTGTATAAAACTCATTGAAGCGAGCATGAAAACTGATGTGTCTGATGTCGCTGCAAGTGAAATCTGCGCGTCAGTTCCCATCAGTTTTTCTGCGCGTATGGTGTGAACGTGACCTGAAACAAGTAATTATATTATACTTTCCTATCTATTTACTAATGCTAACAGGATGTTAAATAGTCAATGTTGGCTGAGAGAGTGACAGTCCACTTTAACCCCTTCACGCCGGCTGCACACAAATACGTGGCCTCCCAGCGTCTGGGCCTAGACGCCGAGCGGCTGCACATTTGCGTTCATGAAAGAAAAAAACATATGTGCTGAGAGCACGCTCTCAGCACACATGTCCGCTACTCACGGAAAGGTCCCGGTCTGCTCTTTCGATTGGGACCTTTCCCGATCATGTGACTGCTGTGACGACGTGTCACGGCGGTCACATGATCCCGAAACCCCGCCTCCCGGCTTCTGAAACTATTAAAGGGCCGGGAGGCGCCAGCGGGAAGGGGTTAAAGATGAAGTTTTACATACTTACAATGGTCCAGCTTGACGTCACTAGTGGCATCACCACCTCACTTCTCCGTCTTGTCCAATCAGAGAACACTTTGGGGTTGATTTATTAAAGGCAAATGGACTGTGCACTTTGCAAGAGCAGGTAACTCCAGAGCTTTGTAAATAAGCAGAAGCTCTGCTGACTTCCATCATCCAATCACATTCAAGCAAAAATGCTGTTTTTTTTTTTTTTTAATTTTCCCTATACGTGATTGGATATTCTTTGCAAAGTAAAGCTTTACCTCATTTGTTGAGCTCTGGAGCAACTGCACTTGCAGAGTGCAAGGTCTATTTGCCTTTAGTAAATCAACTCCTTTTGCATTCATTCAGAAAATGCAAAGCATTGTTTGAATGGCTCTCATGCTGAGCAGTTGACCTCCTGTGTTCACAATGCATCAGGCCAGCCGCTAAGCCAGCCTGCAATTTCCAGCTTCCAGGGGCATTGACCAGGTATGGTATATACACCGTTACAGTGGTCCAAGCTGGAGCAATGTAACTAAAAAATACTATATCTAGAATTCTTCTATACGTTTTTTCTTTTTTTTAATGCAAGCGGCATAAATACCTGAATCTGAACTGGTATCAGCCTTTTCCAGTATCAACCTCTTGTACAGCAGTGCTGGAGTGTCAGAGGAAGCCGCAACACGTGGAGCCAGTCAGTTCATATACTGACAAGAAACATGGTGATAGGAAGAGAGAGCAGAGAGACGAACACATTGCTGTGCTGCTTCTCTTTTCACGTTGCAGTCTTGGGCTCAGGTGCGCTCAAGGTGACCTGGGTTCAGAGGAAGTGGGTTGAATAATACTGGCCATCAGCCTGAGAACATCTGATGGCAGAAAAAGCATATTGCAGAGGAAATCTGGATTGCTGGTGACTATCACAGCAATACTGACTTTATGTTATCTTTTAATGGTCTATTAGTTTTTATCTTGTTATTTTTGGATGAAGTCCTGTTTTAAGTTTGTTATAGCTAGGGAAGAGTTATAAACCCTGTCAGATTTTCTTGCAGTCTTGCATCCTGTAAGGGAGATTTCCTGTTGCTTCTCCAGGTCAGAAGGAGAAGGGAAGTATAGAGAAGTCTCTACAAAAAAGAAGGGAGAATTACCTTCGTAGGCTGACGTCACAGGAAGAGAAGTCTTCATTGAAAGTTTTATCCTCTCTTATTCTGGGGATAATTCAAAGCATTCTGTAACCCATCCCCCCCCCCCCACTTTGTCTTGGTGGCATTGGTCACAGGGTAAATTAGGAGGTAAAACTACCAGGTTGGGGTATAGACGTTTATAAAACTGATAGGGGTTCTATCCAAAACAACAAAAATAAGTTTGGGGTATACATAATAAAATTCCAGTTTTGTTTAATCACTTCAGCTGTAGCGACGTACCCGTATGTCAATGGACTTTCGGTGCAGGCATCATATCCCAGTATCGTTGTTTAGGCTTGGTTCACATCTGTGCGGGTGGTGCCGCTGTGGATCTGCACGAACCGCACCACCCGCACAGAGAAATGCAAACCCGCGGGTGGGTGCCATTAGTTCTAATGGCACGCCACCCGCACTGGAAAATGCAACCGTACTGGGAACCGAGGTTCCCGTGCGGGTTGTGTTTTTGGTAGAAGTGCAGAGACTTCTTCTCTGCGTATTGCAGGCACGGGAGTCCATTCAAACGAATGGGCCCTTGTGCCCATTCAAAACGCGGCACACACGGCTGCATAGATGTGAACCGGGGCTAAGACCAGACAGTTGGCTTTCTTGTAAAAGCAATCTGAGTGGCTAATTAGCAGTTGGATCACTTTTACAAGCAGCAGGAGGGGATGTAGTTAAAGTGGTTAAACATCTTGGTCATGTCAGCTGTATATATTGTAAAGGATTTAGCAAATATATTACACTATAATAAAAATACTGTAATCATCTCCAGTGTTGGTATAATAAAATGTTATTGATTCTGCCATAAATTCAGTGGCCTTGTCACCTCCTGTGAGCTGAACTAAGAGCACAAACAATGTTCTCTACCTTCTGTAAACTACTAATCCCCCCATCTCAATGTAATGGGGGTGAAGAGAGTAAGATGCTCGAAGTTTAGCCTAGGTGATAACTATGAGGTGAGGAGTGCGTGCAGCCACCCAGAGACAGGTAGTGTTTTACTGACAGGATCGCCAGGTGAAAATAATGATTAAAAAGAGCATAAAACAACAAGACTTGTGCTGCCACCACATCTAATAACTGGTAAGCTGCAATATATTTGTTTCTGGGATCAGATACAGAATACAGTGCGGAATTCCTCTGTTAATACTGGAACCAGTAGAGATTGGAAGGGAGATCCAAAAGGTTAACAAAGATAAAGATTTGCTGACTTTGGTTAGGCGCGCACAGCTGGTATATGATACCTTCACTCTTGTTTTGTGTACAGAGCCTGAAATGGTTGGACCTGAAAGACAACCCTCTGAACCCTGCCCTGGCCAAGGTGGCCGGAGACTGCCTGGATGAGAAGCAGTGTAAGGACTGTGCCCAGAAAGTGAGTATCCTATGGAGGAGTCTCCATTGCTGCAATGCTAGAGATACTTTTCAGAGAACAGGCTTCACATACGACTGAAGGACAAAGTTTCATGTTATAATAGAAACCTAACAGCTGGCATTTGACTAGATGCTATGGGCAACACTTGGTTTTTAAAGGATTCCTATATTGTTTGGTTTGGCTGCTGTTAAAGCAGATCTTCACCCTTAAAGTGGAGTTCCACTCATCCTGTCAAAAAATAAAAGTCAGCATCTACAAAAACTGTAGCTGCTGACTTTTAAAAAACAGCCACTCACCTGTCCCTCGGTCCCGTGGTGTGTCCCCCCGCAGCCCGTTTCACCTGCCGTCCTGGATTTCTGGAGGCTGGCATCTTCAGTGTGGGCACCCGGCTGTGACTGCTTGCGGCTTCACAGCCAGGTACCCACTGCGAATGCGCAAGTAGCGCTGCGCTTCATGAATGGTCCTGTAGTCTTCTGGGACCTGTCACGTGTCTCTGAAGACTACGGGGAGGGAAGGAGGGAGGACACCTTCCGTTTCCGATCGCCTAGGCGGTCTGGCCGCAATTGGGAGCCGGTACCTGTCAAATTCGGGAACCCACTCCGCCCCCCAAAGATGCCAATCCTTAATGGGGAGCGGGGGGGGGAGCAGTCCTTAAAGCGGAACTTCCCCTTTTGGGTGGAGCTTTGCTTTAAATTGAAAGTCCCTCCTGTCCACTCCACCACACGTATAAAGGTTTTTATAGAAAAAATTTTCCTTTTAGGGTTTGGTCCCTTCTCCAGTACACATAATTTGCTGAGGTGAATGACATGTACTGTTCCCACTGTTCCTCCTGAAATATGTACGCCTCATATCCCAAGGGGCTTTAGTGTTTCATTCACAGAGGAGGAGGGAGGCAGGACTAGCGGTTTATGATCGGGAGGCCCGCATGCTGGAACTGGTGGGATTCCCGATGTCACAAACAAATATGGTGAGTGGGACCTGACCGGCAGATGCTGAGGGGAGGGAGGATCTCCCCAGGACAACACTGGATCTGCTGGGTAGGTGAGTATCTAAACTGTGGAGAAAATGCTGACACAAGGTAAACCGGGGGAAAAAAAAAGAATGGGTGGGCTGAGGAAAGCTAAAAATCCACTTTAAATGGTAATGTTGGTTAATTTGTTTCTGTCATTTTCAGTAATATGTTAATCACTTCAGCTCCGGAAGATTTTACCCCCTTCATGACCAGGGCATTTTTTTGCTATTTGGCACTGTGCTACTTTAACTGGCAATTGTGCGGTCGTGGAGCACTGTACGCATATGAAATTTATATAATTTTTTTTTTTCACACAATAGAGCTTTCTTTTGTTGGTGTTTGATCACCATTGGGTTTTTAATTTTCTATTCTATAAAGGCTGAAAATTGTGCAGAAAAAAAAACCAAAACTATATTTCTATTTTCTGTTATGTAAAATATCTGTTAAAAATCTTCAGAAATGTAGGCCAAAATGTATTCTGCTACATGTCTTTGGTTAAAAAAAAAATCCCAGTAAGTGTATATTAATTGGTTCGTGTGAAAGTTTTAGCGTCTACAAACTTTTGTGTATATATACTGTCATTTTTATTTATTTTTTGGCAGTGATCAGTAACTTATAGTGGGACTGTGATAGTGCGGTGAGCAGTCTGATGCTAAGTGACATTAATATAGTGATTAACGCTAATAATATACACAGTCACTACTAATAACACTGGCTGGGAAGAGTTTAACATTTAGGGGCAATCAAAGGGTTAACTGTGTGCCTAACAGTATTTACCCTGTGCTGTTTTTTTCTAAGCGATGTGCCGGTTTTGTACTCCCAGCTTCGCAGGGAGAAAAAGACCAGCAAATCATTGCTGTTTGTAGACAACCCCACCACCCACCCAGAAATCCCACATCATGTACGTGATCTGGCACATAGAAAATCTGCATGAGCCAGTCAGCAAGCTGTTAAGAAAGGGGTGGCAGTAGCTGCCAACCAGAGAAGGGTTGTGAGAAAGGTAGCGATTAAAAGAGAAATAGAAAAATAGAAGAAATGGAATAACAGGGAGGATTGGTGAGATATATCTTGGAGACCACACCGATCATTTCTGTTATTTGTGCAGGTTCTACAACATATGAAAGTTATCCAGGAAGAACAAGAGCGAGAATTGCAACGCAAGCTTCTCGAAGAGCAAGGTTTGTATCTATTTGTGTGTTTTTGTTTTTTTTTAAAGATTTTTATGAATGCATGGTTTGAACTAAGCAAATTTAACTGGCATTAATCTTTATATCGGTCCTACAGCTTTAAAGCAGAAACGTGAGGCTGAGCAGAGACAGAAAGAGGAGAGGGAGAGAGAACAGAAGCGCAAGCAGAAAGCAAAGCAGAAAGCGCGCAAAAGGAGGGACTACAACGCTCTTCAAGCAGCTCAGCAGGAGGTGAAAAAGGCAACAGAGAGAGAGCACACGGAGAACCACAGTGAGTGTTGTGATGGCCGCAGCCAAGATTTGATAATGTGTACATCCTGGAGGGAAGGTGAAATTGAAGCTGTTGCACATAGCAATCAAAAGGTCTAAGCAGCACCTTTGCTGATGCCCATTTGGAAGGCCACTGAAATGGGCCAAATCCCACTTTGAAAATTTGTTAGAAGTTAAGATTATTTGTGACATGAAAACTCTCCCCCGACATTCCTAGCAATTGAACACACTGCATGGCACATGCCCAGAATAGAGCTTGATTGCAGGATAATATAACCCCATGTGCACAAGCATTGGAACTACACTGTCTGTAGTTGTCCAGTGGCCGCAGAAGAGCATCATGGGACTAAGAAGAAGCAGTGAGGGCAGATGGTGGCAGTGGCTGATAAAACAGTAACTGAAGGCTGGACCTGTCACCACTGAAGGGGGTACAGTGCAAGATGTGCCAGTTTGTTTCCAACTCGGTCAGCATCAGGGGCGGACTGACAACTCATGGGGCCCCCGGGCAATAGGGGATCATGGAGCCCCTGTGTCCTTGCCCAAACTCAAAAAGCGTATGAAAAAGGTACCAGGGGCATCTCATGGGGCCCCCTACTGACCCCGGGCCCTCGGGCAGTGCCTGAGTTTCCAAATGGTCAGTCCATCCCTGATAAGGGGGTACCACCAGTAGTGTATTTAGGTTTTGTGCTGCCCTAGGCAACACAAAAATCGTCTGCCTCCACGGACACCGACCAACACCATCCCCCCTTCCGCGGAGAGAGCCTGACATTGACCAACAACAACCCTTCCCCCCCCACCTGTGAGAGCAGTGCCCGAGTTTCCAAATGGTCAGTCCGCCCCTGGTCAGCATACTTGTACATTATTGGGAGAGCAGACTTGATCCCAGTAGAATTTATTTCCACTTGAAATAGAAGCAAGGAGGAATAGGTATTGCCTGGATAGAAAGGTGCAGACATCAATAAAAACCTGAAAGAGGTCCTAGCCCAGGGCTTGAAATTTCCACTCGCCCGCTCGCCAATGGCGAGTGGAAATTATGGTGGGGGTGAGTGTGTCCTCCAGGGCTGTCTTGCTGAGCAGGCTGGGAGCTCAGGCCGGATCTGTCAGTGGCACTGGGAGCCGTCGGACTGCTCAATAGATGAGCGCAGTGAAAGCAAAGGAAGGAGTGTGTGCTGTGCTCTCTGCCTCCCCCTAGAATGCAGTACCCGCCTCTGTGAGTGAACAACGAAGTACTGCAACTTTTTATAGGGTGTGTGTATGTACCTAATTTCAGCTCACTCTGGTCACATGATCCTCTGTCAGCCAGTGGTGGCTTCAGGGGAGAGGAGAGAGCACTTAACTGTGTGCGTGTGTGTACATGTGTGTGTCTGTGTATCTGTACATGTATGTGTGTTTATGTGTATGTACGTACATGTGTATGTATCTGTGTGTATGCGTGTCTGTACGTGCCTGTTTATGTATACGTGTGTGTATGTACATGTCTGTGTGTATGTACGTGTGTGTGTGTGTGTGTGTATGTACATGTCTTTGTGTACATGTCTGTGTGTGTATACAGGTGTCTCTGTTTGTGTGTGTTTGTTGGTGGCGAGTAACTCTTAGGCCTGGCTAGTAGCTCAGGACTTTAAATTTGAAGCCCTGTCCTAGCCCATCTGCATTCTAGAAAAAATAAATATTTTTTTTTCTTCTGCTTGTTGGAATGGAAATACATTCCTCTGACTTGCTGTACTTGTGAAACCCCAGCTTTGAAATGGGAAGTAGGGAAACATCTCCCCAACAAGGTATACTCCCCCCTCCATGCCACCTACCTGCTCTGTCTGAATCCTGCTGTGTTGATGTAACAAAGTGGGGCTTATGCAGTCATAAGTCAGCCTGGCCTGAATGCAGTCATTTAGTGTGGGGCGGTGAAATCATCCACTCAGGTAAGCATCAATAATGAAGAATAACAAGGGTGGACACCTGCAGCAGGGAGGTGGGGAGGGAGTGTGGATCAGTGAGTATATCCTGCTGTGTGGAGTTGCTTTAAGGAAGCACTGTCCCTCTACTCTGTGATGCAGCTCAAGAGCTAGCAATTCATTTCTAACTCCATATAATAAAAGCTGCACTTTTTGCCAGGAATTAGATTTGTTTTGATAAAATTTGTTGTATTTCCAATGACTGTTTATTAAAAGTTGCACTTAGGAAAAAACAAGCATTACTGTTTTTTAATCCTATGAACGGACAGTCCTTTTCCAATTTGGTACATGAAATTAAATTTTTTTTTTTTTAGTAAAGGTGCATTGATTTTTTTTTTTTCAGGTCGATGTGCTGACAAAAAGCTTTTAAAATGTCTAAAGTGGTTGTAAACGTCAGGCATTAAATATGAACTAAGCATATCCCTCTGTAGTGTGTACTTGTCTCAGTCCAGAGCACTAAATGGCATTTCTGTCTGCTGCCTCTCTCCTCTACTATAAGCAGGAGTTATTTCTGATAAGTTTTCCTGACACCAAGGGAAATATGGTGATGGGAGGGCACAGCCTGTGATTAACAGCCTTAGCTCTGTTCCTGTGTGCTGTGTGAAAGGGGGGGGGGGGTCTTTCCCTCCAATCAGCTCTCAGAGCTCTCCTCACTGATGTAACTTCAGCTCTCCACACCCCTGCTTTTCAGAGCTGAGACATCCTGCGCAAATTCTGCACTTTGGATGTACAGTATAACCTTGGTTTACAAACACCTCGGTTAACGTCATTTTCAGTTTATGAGTGAAAATCTATTGAAAATAATGCCTCGGTTTACGAATTTTTTACAAATGTTTTTCACAATACGAAGTGTATGTCAATGCTGATTTTTAAATGCAATTGCCAAGTTTTTTGTTTTTTTTTCCTTCACTGTAGCTCCCAGAATTACCTGTCACTTTCCTCGGAATTAACGTAAACGTTTTTTTTAAGAAACTAAAACAAAACATTGTTTCTCTTAACTGGGGAAATAAATTAAAAGAAAACTTTCTTTCTTTTAGCTGGGGGGGAAAGTGATAGCTGAATTTCTGAGCTATAGTGAAGAAAGAAAAAACGGTAATTACATTTTAAAAACCGACACCATAATAAATAAAACAAAACGGCATGGGGTCCCCCCTCCCATCCATAACAAGCCCTTTGGGTCTGGTATGGATTTTGAGCGGAACTCCCACGCCAAAATTAAAAAAAAAAAAAATGGCGTGGTCCGCTCCAAAATCCTTGCCAGACCCTTATCCAAACATGCAGCCCGGCAGGTCAGGAAAGGGGGAGGGCGCAAGCAGGCACCCCCCCCCCCTTCCTCCTGAACCACACCAGGCCAGGGGGACAACAGCCCTAAACATACAACCAGAGCTAAAATGGAATGGTTTAGATCAAAGCATATTCATGTGTTAGAATGGCCCAGTCCCGACTTAACCACTTCCCGACCGGCTGTTGCATATAAACGGCCAGACATTGGCAGTGCAGGGTCGGGTGGCCGTTTATAAACGGCCTCCCCACACCCTGCTTGTGCACGCTCCCTGGGAGCGTGCAGCACCGTGATCCGGTGCCCGCTGTGTCCTCCGGACACAGTGAAACACCGATCGTCGGACGGGACCTCTGTACGAGGTCCCGATCATGTGATCACTGATTGGCCAATCAGTGATCACATGCAAAGTAGTAAGCAAGATGTCACATGTGACATCATTGCTTACTACGTGTGAAATCTGTGAATGACCACAGAGGTCACATGGTACAAGGCTATTCACAACAGCCTTGTACCATGTGACAAGCTGTGACCAATCACAGCTCACTCAGTACTTCTCAATGAGTGCAAGAATGCAGCCAGAGAGAAAGAGAAATCATTGCTTTTACATCCTATATGGGTGTAAAAGCAATCGGTGTAAAAAAAAAAAAAAAAATCTTCATCACCCCCCACAAGTAGTACAGTATCACCATGGTGACACTGTACTGCTAGGTGACAGTATGTAAAAATAAAAAATAAGAATATAAAAAAAAAAAAATAAAAATGTAAAAAAAAAAAATTTAAAAATTATAATTTTTGGTTATAAACTAATTTGGATTTTTTTTTTACTAAAAAGATAACGGAATACATTTTGGCAAAGATTTATGATGAAATATTATTTATTTGCAAAATTTTATATAAAAAAAAACACTTTTTTTCAAAATTTTTGGACTTTTTCATTTACATAGCAAAAAAAAAAAAAAAATCCCAGCGGTGAATAAATACCACCAAAATAAAGCTTTATCTGTCTCAAAAAAATGGTAAAAAATTAATTTGGGTACAGTGTTGCATGACCGCGCAATTATCATTCAAAGTGTGATAGCGCTGAAAGCTGAAAATTGCCCTGGACTGGAAGGGGGGGAAAGTGTCCGGTCTGGAAGTGGTTAAATCCAATGGAGAATCTGTGGCAAGACTTGAAAATTGCTGTTCACAGATGCTCTCCATCCAATCTGACAGAACTTTAAATGTCCCTCTCTAGATGTGCAAAGCTGGTAGAGACATCCCCCAAAAACACTTGCAGCTGGAATTGCAGAGAAAGTTGGTTCTACAAAGTATTGACTCCGGGGGGCTGAATACAAATGCACCCCACACTTTACACAGATTTATTTGTAAACAATATTGACAACCATTTCTCATTTTCCTTTCACTTCACAATTATGTGCCACTTTGTGTTGGTCTATCACATCAAATCCCAATAAAATACATTTACGTTTTTGGTTGTTACATGACAACATGTGGAAAATTTCAAGGCGGAGGCAGACTTTTTCAAGGCACTGTACATGTAATGTTCTGCTATATTTTAAGTTTAAGTGGAGCTCTCCTTTAACTTCCATGTGTTTCCTTTGCAGAAACCGTAGCAGGTCCCTCTCAGAAGAAGCAGCCCCGGAAGCGATCATGGAGAAGGCTGATCTTGCAGATGGTCCTGTTCTTGCTTCTGGTGACTGCGGCCAGTGTTGCGGTATGTCGGTACACTGATCTGCGGACTCAGAGTGTGTGCTCCAATGTGAATACAGTGTACGAGGACACTGTGAGAACTCTGCAGAGCTGCCACTTGGTGGAAAGCGTCCTCAAGTTCCGCTCACAGCAGTGATGACTGAAGATGTTTTTGTGCATACGGAAAAGTGATTGATTGGGGGGAGTATTTTGTACCGAAGGGCATCGCTGCTAAGCATACATTTTAAGAGTGATCTAAGTGCAGTGTGTAAACATCTTTCTGCCCTATTGGTTTAAAATCCTTCACTTATCACATTTGGGTATCTCATTAGGTTTTGCTTGCTTATCTCAGAATTCACATACATGTTTTTTTTCCAGCCAGCAGGAGCCAGTCCTTTTAAAAGTGATGATGGCGACAAATGGGCCTCCTCCTCATGTGATCACTATGATTGGCTGTCACAGTGGTCACATGATCAGCAGTCCACCCCCCAATGGGGGACCAGGAGCTGTCCATGACGAGTAAGGTCACAATTCTGTTGTAGTTGAGTGAGCGCGATCTCAGCGCAGAACAGTGACACTGTATGCAATTATGTGACAACTAAGTGTCAAAGCCCACATCATAGTGCCACATACTGTATATGCATTGGGATGGTGGAAAGGGTTAAAAGGAAAACAAACTCTCAATCAACATTAACTATTTCTAATCCTTGTACTGCTAGCATTAGTAAATAGATAGGAAGGTATACTATTATTATTATTATTATACAGGATTTATATGGCGCCAACAGTTTGCTCAGCGCTTTACAATATAACGGGAGACAATACAGCAACAATACAGTTCAATACAAGAGGGATAGGAGGGCCTGATCCTTGGAGCAGTGTTGATTTTTGGATATTATTTTTGACCATAATCATAGGAAATGGAAGAATAAACAGTTGAGGGGCTAGCATTAACCACTTAAGCTCTGGAAGATTTTACCCGTCATGACTAGGCCATTTTTTATTATTCGACACTGCGCTACTTTAACTGGAAACTGCGCGGTCATGCAACACTTGCCCAAATGATATTTAGATCATTTTTTTTTTTTCACAAAAATAGATCCTTCTTTTGGTGATATCTGATCACCACTGGGTTATTTTTTTTATTCTATAAATCTAAAAGACTAAAATTGTTTTTTTTTACAAGCGTGTTTTTTTTTTAATTAAGGTATAGACTGCAAAAACAGCTTAAAGTATAGGATACAATATAAAAAAGGCACATATGTAATAATCCTCAAAATACAATACAATCATGTAAGACATAAAAAGCAAGTAAATGAGCAAGGTAGGCAGAGCAATAGGCTACCAACAGAGGAAAACTATCAATTACATCATGTATATCCATTAGTCAGACACTAGGGGGTTTATTTACTAAAGCTGGAGAGTCCAAAATCAGACTCCCTTCTGCATAGAAACCAATCAGCTTCTAACCTCAGCTTGTTCAATGAAGCTTTGGCAATGAAACCTGGAAGCTGATTGGTTTTTATGCAGAAGGGAGTCTGATTTTGGACTCTCCAACTTTAGTAAATAAACCCCTAAATGTCTGAGTTTTCCAAACATCCCATTTTCTGTCAAATAAGTGCATCCTATGCAGTAATGTATAATGAATATGTTCCATGAGCATCACCGCGTCAACTCTACGTAGAACTGAGGCCAATGGCACTGTAGGCGACTTCCAATGACCCATAGGGATGAGACACAGATGGTGTGAATCGGCCTCATAGCTTTGGTCTGTATTCTCGAGATAGGGGCTCCCAGTAAGCAAATCTGCACAGACAAATGTACCGGGGCATCTGCCACAGCAGAGGCCACTTCAGAAATTTTACGCCACACCAATGAAAGGCTGGGACAGGCCCGAAATAAAAGACTGAAAATTTTGAAACAAAAGCCCAAAAGCTTTTTTTTTTATTTCTGCTCTTAAACATATTTAATTATAATAATAATAATAATAATAATAATGAAAAAAAAATTCATAAATTTAGTTAAAAATATATTCTTAAACATATTTAATAATAATAAAAAAAATTCTTCATAAAAATATATTTGCTACGTCTTTGGTAAAAAGAAAAAAAAATCCCAAAAAGTGTATTAATTGGTTTGCCTGAAATGTATAGCATCTACAATCTATGGTGCATGTGTATATATACTAGAATTTTTATTTATTAAGTGTTCTTGCATGGCAGACCACTTCCTGTTATCTCACATATATATTCTTATTATTATAGCCAAATTTACCACCCTAACTCCTCCCACAGTTTTTACACTACATAGACAGTAATATACCGAAACGTGCGGATTGTTCCCCAATTGGATTGCTATTACTTTGTGGAACGTTTCGCCAAATGGTTCACGAAATATCGGTGTTTTTGTGGTGAAATTGGTCCCATAGGAATGAATGGCGGAATGTTCAAAACTAGAGAGGGAGCTGACAAAAGCTAGAGTGTGAGCTGAAAAATCAGAATGATATCTAAACTGCCATCACTCCCTCATTTTCAAACCCACCTACACAAATCTTATATCAAAACATTCAGCTATCCCCGCTGCCACTAAAAATGTCCACGGCTAAGCCATAGTCCTGATAGTTTTCACAATATGACCATTTGTTTGCAACTCACGCCGCCTATTGACATTCATTGAAACTCCACTCTAGCCACCTCAAATTTGAAGGGCAATTTTTAAAATGCGACTGTGCCTTCATTTTTAATATTTCAGAGACATACTATGCATCAAAATGTAGGTCTGGGTCTTGTGATTCTCACAATATAAAGCTCTTCAGTGTAGGATTTATAAGTTTTAAACTACAACTGTTTGAAGATGGCAACCGCCAGTTAAGTGAGCAAGTTGGAGCAGTTTGTTTTTTAACCGCTCTTCTCTGCCCTTGCTGTAGAGTGAGTTGCCATAGGAACCCAGGTGTGTGAGCAGGCAGCAGAGTGACAAGCCACTCCGCCCAGTTACTCCGCCCACTCCAGTTGTAGACTACTGGTGGAGGCAAGAACACTTCGCACATTTTCCCCAGAAATTGTAGCTTTTCTAGTTTATTCTTTTTATACCAGTAATAGCGGAGATCAGCGACTTATAGTGGGGCTGTGATAGTACAGCGGGCAGTCTGATATTTTGTGGGAAATGACTAACTGCCACTGACATCAATAGCGACTCTAATACAGTGATTAGTGCAAATAATATACACTGTCTCTGTACTAATGACACTGACTGGGAAGGGGTTATCATCTAGGGGGAGTCAAGGGGTTAATTGTGTGCCTAACAATGTATAATGTTTGCTGCTTTATACTACAGATTATTTGTTTCTTTTCCCTGCTTTGCAGGGAAAACAAACCAAGTGATCATTCCCTCTGTATAGAGGCCCGTGTTTATTAATCATTGGCGGGATCTACTCACAAACTCAAATCAGAGGGGAGTAGGCGGGTGGACCAGACGCAATGTACAGGTATGTCGCTGTGCCTGTGGGAGCCTCCCGCTGCTGTATATGTACTATGGTGGGCCGGCAAGCAGTTAAAGTGATCCTGTTGTTTAGCTCTGCCCATCAAAAAACAGTTTCACTTCAAACCGAAAATACAAATTCAAAACAGAAAATAGAAACTTCTGTACATACCAGGAAGGAAATATGATGTAAATCGTGAATTGGGGCCTGGCAATGATATTTACACACTGCGCTGATGCTCACCCCTCTATGCTAGAGCCTGCTATGTGATGTTTTATTTTTTTGTTTTTTAATAAATTAAGAAGGTTAAAAATTGCCTCCTAAATGCATTACCGTTTTGTATTTAAAATGTGGTATTACTGACGACGCTGTCAACGTCGGCATTTATTTTTCCGTTCGCCATTAAAAGGAAGGGTTGTTGTAAAAAAAAAAAGTTGGCCTGGTACATTTCTATGGCCTTTTCATGTAAGAGAGAATAGAATCGCCACACTACGTTTAGAATGAGCCACTATATTTTTATAAGGACTGTATTGTGCTCGCTTTCTATCTAAAGAAATGGAATAAAACTGCCACTTGAAGTTGTGCATTCCTTGTCACTCTACAACTCAGGTTCTACAAATAATTTCACCAGCCAGTTGCTGGATTCCTGGAAATGAGCTGCTTTTGGATTCGCTTTGCCAGTAACTGTGATGTAACGGTGTAACGTTTCTATGTAAGATACAATAAAAGTTGCCTTTTGATTGGTAGCTGTACCAAAAGAACAAATGATAAAGAAAACATTCTCTTGTTGATTGTGTCGTGTCTTTCATTTTTTGCTCGCAGATTTTCCTTTACTCAACACTCTTCTTTACAGAGCTGCTAAAACCTTGTTTCCTCAGTTGCAACTTGCTGGCCATCCTCAGCCTGGCTTTTGAAATTCCACATCTGGACCCTGCTGGACTGGACATTGTGAGGATAGCCTGGAAGCGACCTTCACAAACTGGGTTCCATGTACGGTGCTTTCAAGACATTGTTCTATTAAAAGTTAGCTGCAGATCCTGAGTTGCTGGCATTGCCTTGGTGCTTACCCTGATGATTCACTGTGAGCAGGCTGGTCACGTTAAGAACTGGTAGCTACCTCATTTACTTTAGGTCCCTGCCCTCCTTAAAATTTCTGTTTCACCCTTCCACTGCTTCGGGTGTTAAAGCTGTGGGACTGAACGCTGGTGTAATTTGCTGGATGGAGGTGTCACATGCGCCATCCATATGCTCTTTCCTACTATACAGAGCCCCGCGGGTTTTCCTGCTTGCAAGAGCCCCATGAGGCCCTGACCTTTGTTCCATTTCTGCTGCCTGCCTACTGTGACTTTGGTCATCCTGGCACCCAGGAAGTCTTTAACCTTTGGGTTATACTGCTGCCTACAAGAGGATTGGACACTAGCAAAAAAAGCCAGCCCAGGATAACCCCTTCCACTTCTAGCATGTCCCAGTTGGTGGCACCTGTCCCTCAATGGACTCCAGTAAAAGAATTTTGTGTTGAGTACAAATATCCTATTTTCTTTCTTGTCCATTGAGGGACACAGGACGTCTTTAACTTTTTGGGTTATACTGCTGCCTACAAGAGGATTGGACACTAGCAAAAAAAAAAAAAAGCCAGTCCAGGATAACCCCTTCCACTTCTAGCCTGTCCCAGTTGGTGG